AACACGCCACCCTTCAACCGAGGCGGCATGTGCCACTATGCACGACACCTCCACGGGAAATGCAACACCCCAATCGGACATCACTTGAACCCTCTCCACAGTCATGTATAAGCAGTTGTAGTGGTTGTTGCCCGCCCGACGCCTGGCCTTCCTGTCGTGACCTCAATCCGTCTAGACCTCAATGTCGTGGCGGCCGCCAAACTTACTGGCGTGCGAGACACAGACTGTCCACGTCGATGTTTACCCACACGCTGTCCAACCAATCACAGGCCGACCTAGCCAATGAACGCTCTGTCTTATGTCTGTCTACTGGCCTCATTGCTGTCAAACCAGCACTTGGACTTGACTGGCTCTCCTGGCCGGTTGTATGCTATCCAAGTCAAATCTCTTTCCATCTATTTTCCATTCCTTTGTGTACACAATATACTCTTCCTACAACTCTGGCCTTTCCAAGACTTCGCTTCTCTACTAAGTAACCATGGTCTGAAGATCGCAGTTGCCCGGATTTAACTCACTTAACTCCTTACGATAGAAGTATCCACTGTGATACTCTCTCGGCATCTAAAGTGGCATAACTTGTTCCAAATAAACGTTAATACGGCCCACTAACGGTCCTGTTGGCTTATCGGACTTCTGGCACTCTTCGTCTGCAGACGAGGTGGTTGAACGCGCGTTGCAATCGCAGAACCTACACCGTGCCATTTCTTTGTAATGCGGATGGATGGAAGGAAGTTCAGTGGCCGTAAAAGCAATCTATGGCCCGCATTCTACCGAGCCTTGGTCACTGCTTACCTCGGGTTAAGCAAAGCTACTGGCAGCGAAAGGGCGTCTGCTGGAGTGCTGGACCAAGGACTTAAGACACCTTTAGCAGCCGTTCATCTGCGATCTGCGATGAAGCTGTAGCGAAGCTGTAGGTCATGCTTTCCTCGCACGTCGCTGGGACAGGCCGCATGTCTGGCTCGCGTGTCCATAAGCGTGTGTGCACCAGACGATGTCAAAACCCCCCGTTCAAGGTCACCCTCTGTCTGGTCTTACTGGCGAACCACTTCCCAAGGCTAGTTTACAAAGGACCTAAGGTGGTGACTGTTTACGCTCAAACACTCCAGGAACCGGCGGCCTCACGACTGGTTGCAGACATCCGGACCCGGCGGCTACACCCACCAGAATGCGACTCTGGATTCGGCCCGCTGATAGCTGGACTGCACTCGTCTTTGAGTCATTTACTTATTTCTGTCATTCTACTCCTTCTACGCTTAGTTAAATTATCCATAAAACTCTGGCCTTCCACGCCTTATCATATCTACTAGTTTATATCCGTTGGGATACGTTTTATCATCTATTATCCGGCCGGATTGCATCGTATCCCACACTGCCTTCGTTCGCCAAGCCTCGCTCGCTGCGCGCTATTGTCCTTTCACACGTTCGCTGTCAACTCACCGCGCGTACGCTCGAAGGTAATCGATACTTCCGCCTCATTGGATTGGTGGCAGCTGAATGATTACCCATCCCACAGCCAAAACTTGACACAGTGTCAGTTTTGCACCTACGCGGCTGGCTTTTGTACG